ACACCAGAGTAAAACACATCAACACTCTCTATGTCTGGATAGGCTTGCCTCGACAACAATATTTTTAGCAGGTATCCAAAAGAGTACAGGGAAGGTGCCTGCCCAATGTCAGTAATAATTTCAGAAATAATATGGTGTTTAAAACAAACAAAAACACAGGTTAAAACCGTAAGTTCAGTAATTAGGCATAGCTCAACTTGCTTGACATGTCTACTGAAGCAGAAAGGTCTCTGTCAAGTGGCTAAAGTTCAGCAGGGTGTAAACTGGGCCCATAATACTAAATGTATAGCTCGGTGATCTAGGGTTGCTCTGCTCCAATACAGAGGAAAGGAGGCACAGATCTTTAAAGGCCTGGCTTCAGGGCTGTATGCTCTGCTGCTATTGAGCACCAGTTGATTGTAGAGGAGGCTAGACAAGGAGACATAAGAGTCCTCATGGGAGCTGAGGTATTCTGCAGTATGTGCAGGTACAAATACATGCCCTCCAACATGTTGAGGCAAAAACCCCCAGTACGTGCATCTTTCAGGGCTGCTCTCCTATGCAAGTCACATGAAAAAGTGCTTTTCTCAGAGCAAGATCACAGTACGAGACTGTGACGCCCAAAATGGCTGCTGTGCTCTCTCTCACACACACAAAAAATTGGAAGTTTGGGACAGTTGAGGGGCATGCAAATAACATCCTGCACATCAAGTGTTTGTGGTTACATATGAATAGGTTTATTAAGTTATGGATGCCGTGGAGGAAGTGGATAGATAGAAGAAATATTTTATTTTGCTGAATGTTGGGGTGCTCACAGACAAATTTCAAAATGCAGTGTCATTATATATACTGAAAGAAGGCAAGGTTAATGTGACTGATGTTGGTTTTGGAACTAGCCAGGATCTGTAACCATTGCTTGCTCTTGGCTTGTTTCCATTAAAAGCATAGTTTAAATAAACCACAGTTCCTTGAGTTCGTATGTCATGGAGAATCTGTTATGTCTGAACTGATCTGGAGTATTCTGTGCAAAATTAACACACTTAAAGGCCCATCATCAATGAGATATGCATGCATTTCAGTCTCTCGTGGACTGCATTTAAGCACATTTATTTTTCCCCTGGTTTGAATCCATTTAAGAATGAGAAAATAATTTTACTTACTTATAGCATGTTTATGTAATGTAGGATTCCTCATGAATTGAAACACTATTTTGGGTTGTGTGTGTGTGTGTTGACAAAGTCTTTTGAAAACAGCACCCAATAAAAGTGAAATATAAGCTGATATTAAATATTATCAGCACAGAGTCCTGTTTGTTAAGGACTCTATTCACCAGAAACTCCAACTCAATGAACATTAGCTGTGGCGACTCTGTGAACTGGCCTCTGCAGAACCTTATCATGATTTATGAAGCGACTCTGTGGCTTTAGCCTTTCATGTTGTTTGCATGAAGCCATAAGTCATTCTTTCACCCAGTAGCTCAATCAATTCTGATAGCTGTCAGAAAGTGAAACACAAGAAAACCTTGAACCTTACTCTACTCACAGCTGGGAGATTTTATAATTCAGATAAGGACATTTTCCCCCTTCAGTTTTTTCTTTCTTTTGTAAGATAAACATGGCTATTCTCACCTTTATTGGTTTCACTATGAAGGCAGAATTGATGGGCTGTGATGGGACTATGGGTGTCCAACAGGAATATCAACGGCTGCTAGCCATAATGGCAATGTTCCACCTCCACTCTCAGACACAGTCTGCTTCTGAATACCAGTTGTCGGGAATCACAAGTGGGGAGAGTGCTCTTGTGCTCACGTTCCACTTGTGGGCTTCCCACAAGCATCTGGTTGGCCACTGAGATAACAGACTGCTGGACTCAATGTGCCTTTAAATCCTTATAAATGTGGTGAAAGCCTGGAGAATTTCAAAACCTGTTGAAATTTCAACCAGGATTTGGATTTCAACCTCAAATATTCAGAATCTGATATTTGAATGCTTTTGGTTGTTTCACATGGTACTTGAAGAATAATAATGAATGTAGAATTGAGGGTTGGCCTTCCAGATCTAAGTGCATGCACATCCATATGTGTTAAGATGCTAATTTCTCACTAGCAGTTCAAGAAATTGCTTCTTTACAATGGAACATATTCAAGCCTGCAATTCTCTCACTTGCATTCTGAGATGGCAATATTCCCAGAAGAACTGCACTGTCATATTTCTGAAGGTATCATTTGCTTATCAGACAGACGTCCTCTGAACGGAAGCTTTCCCATTAAAGCAGAGAAAGTTAAGTGAGGCATTCTCAAGTCCCGCTAAAAACCATGGGACACCGAAGATGAATGCCTGCTTCATTGATTCTGAATGGACACTAACATGGATTCTAAAGGCAAGACTAAAGAAATCTGGGGTGCCATTTTGGGAATGGTGCTGCTGGATTAGGGATGGGTGAATCTGTCAGTTTGGTTTCTCTTGCTTTCTCATTTCTTCAGTCTTAAATTCAGTTCCCCACATTTCCAAATTCATTTGTATTTTTGAAAAAAGACCTTATGAAAATTCATCTCTGTGTTATTGCAAATATCTCCTAATATACACATTTTGTATGCAATATTCCCTAATATATACCAACACTTTCCTCTATTACAACACCTTTCTGCATGTTACTTTCATTATGTTCATTCTAATGCGCATTTTGCCCTAGTAAATGCATCGGTGGACTTGACCAGGGAACTGCCTCACAAAATTCAGAGTGTGGGAATTTTGACAGGTGGGTGCATTTTGGTTCACATATTATTTTCAGGGAGTATGACTTAAGTAAGTTTGCCTTTACAGTGGTACCTCTGGAGGCGAACGGGAGGCGAATGGGATCCTGAGCAGAACGCAACCCACATCTGCGCATGTGTGGGTTGCGATTCACCGCTTCTGCGCATGCCTGTGATGTCATTTTGAGCATCTGCACATGCACGAGTGGCAAAACCCGGAAGTAACCCATTCTATTACTTCTGGGTCGCCGTGGAGTGCAACCTGAAAACGCTCAACCTGAAGTGACTTTAACCTGAGGTATGACTGTCAATGAAAGCTGCACTGCATTTCACCCCCATCCCTACCTCAGATCTAAATGTTTTGGATCATAGCTTCACAGGGAAATAGGCAGCCCCATTCAGATGGATCTGATTGCTCCAGAGTCGAGAACTGCACTCCTTCATTTTGCTGAAAAGTGTGCCCTTTGTATATTTTATCCTGATTCTGAAATGAAGGAACGATCTGATTTATTTTTTTGAAAGAAGGCATTTTCTTAAAATAAGCCTTCACTAATTGCCTGCAGGGTGTGTTCCCCCTCCTTCAGACTTGACAAGTTGTTCTCTTGAGCAGGGAATAAAATGTAATTGCTCATGGCCATATAGCCCAAACTATGTATTACATTCGCTTGTATGTAAGCTCTCTCTCTCTCTTACTGTGTGTTTATGAATAGGGCCCTATGCTGGAAGGGTGGGAGGTTAAAAGTTCACACCTTCCTACTGAATGATCATGAGAAATGAATGCCTGCAAGTCGCCCCAGAAAGCACTTTAAATAGTTGCTGGGGGGAAGCATCAACACTCAGTTTGAAAAACAAACAATAAAGGCTGAGCGCCAACAGTTGGAAATCCCAGATCAGTCACAAAAGGTTTGTATGACGCGGTAAACATTGCAATCTAACAAACACCAAGGACAATATTACTAGAGATTGCAGTTCTTTTCTTCCCCTGTCAACTAAGTACACTGGCAGGGTTTTGTCCAAGCATTTCCCTCCAATTGCTGATGACAGCAGTAACACTTACAGCTTTATAAGGAATGCAGGAAATTTAGCTCCCAGAACAGCCTTAAGTGTTAGTGATCAACTGTTACAAAAGGAACACAGAACCCGAGGCTACACTTCTGGCTGTTAACCTTTAAATTAAAGTGTCACAAATGTGTTATTGCTCATGAAGGACTGCTGTGAATCACTTTTACTGCTGAGGAATGTTCACCTTGGCCGAACGCTTCCAGTGCCAAGTGGGGGCGACAGTGCACAGAAATAATCCTGCAGACTCTCCTCCCCTCGGTGTCGAGGCATTTTCTGCTGTTGCAACAGGGATGGGCAGACATGGCACATTCTCAACCAGAGCTGCAGCAAACCTCAGGGCCGGTGGTGCTGGGGTTCAGCACACCTAGAGCAAGTCCCTCAAACTTTCTATCTATGGGATCCTCGTGAGAAGGCTGGAAATTACCAAGCCCATCCCTGAAACCCCTCAGTGTGAGAATGTGAGTGTTGGGAGTAGGAGGGTGCAAAACAGGAATGGTGAGGGGTGTGGCTTGAAGAGAAAGGGTAAAGTCCTGGGTACAAGGACGGAGGAAGGGGGGCTGTGGGGGTGGTCCGCCCCGGGTGTCACCCCTGAGGTGGGTGACAAAATGATGGGTGGCACTCACCATGGGGCCTGCAGTGCACCCGAGCCATGTGTGTCTCCTGGGAGTGACGCGGTGGCTTGGGTGCCCGCAGGCTCCGCGCTGCCCCAAACGGTTCGCCCGCCGCCTTGCCCTCAGCTGTAGGGCGGCTGAGTGGGAGGAGGCAGGCAAACTCTTTGGAGGCCCCGTGGAGCGTCCTGCCCCGTGAACAGCTGACCGTGCCACTGGGCGCAGGGCACGTGTGCCGCCCCAGGCACCCGATCGGCTTGCTCTGCCGCTGCCTGGGTAAAGTCCTGAAGACAAAACACAGAGGTTTGAGGAGGGTACATTTGTTCACTGAGCTTGTGATTCCACACTCCTGGTACAGATAGATTCACCGACACACACACACACACACATTTCTATACTGCACTGAGGACTTTGATAAAGGGCAGGGTATATTTATTTTTTGGATTTATTTATTTTATAACCTGCCCTTTCTTCCGATCCAGCACAAAGCAGATTCACATGGTATATCATTAAAACAGCAATGCAAGTATAAAATCACGACACCACACTAAGTATACAGAAGAGAAATAAGAGCAAAGTGGGCCTCGTGCTGGCTATAAAGCTGGATAACTCAGTTGGTTAGAGTATGGTGCTGATAACACCAAGATTGCAGCTTCGATCCCTATATGGCATAGCTGCATATTCCTCCATTGCAAGGGGTTGGGATCAGAAGATCCGCAGGGTCCCTTCCAACTCCATGATTCTATGAAAACAAACCATGGATCAAATACCTGGATAAACCAGAATGTTTTCAGCTGGGTTTTAACCATGAAAAGCTGCAGGGCCAAACTCAACATCCCTTGGGAGGGCGTTCCATAAGGGGGCACTCCATAACTACTGAGTGCAGGTTTTTCTATACACGTGTGCAGGAATGACAAACCCAAAGGTCATTTGTTTGAGAATAAGAGTACAATCCTAAACATGCCTACTCAAAAGTAAGTCCTTTTGAATCCAGTGAGGATGAGTCTCATTAAGTGGGGTTAGGATTGTAGCCTCAGATAGTTATAGGTATCTTCTCTCAAAGCATCATTTCCTCACCTCCGTTGGGAGTCATGAGGCCACTCATTTCCCTCTGTAGCAAACATACACAGGCAAATATATAAAATATTTTTCACCACTAAGTGAGGCTCATTTGTACCAATCTCACCCTCTACTGGATTGCAACTGGCTCCCAATGAAAGTGTATAGCACAAACTAGGGATTTCATCAATTTCACTTTCTCATTTTTTCCAGTCTTCAGCTCGCCAGCTTTTTAAATTAGTTTGCCATTTTTTAAAAAATCTAAATGAAATTTAAGCAGCTTTGCTGTGTAAATTTTTCATAATGTACACATTTTTGTAATAATAATAATAATAATAAATAATTTTATTTATATCCCACCCTCCCCAGCCGAAGCCGGGCTCAGGGCGGCTAACAACAATCAAATAATCAAACAATCAAATTTCCCCTACTGTAACACATTTTTGTATGTTATTTTTACACATACACACACAATAAGGGTATGCATTTTTCTACACATTACACTGTGTAATTTTTCTACTCTGCAAAATTCAGAGAAGTGCAAATTTTAACAAAGTGCTGTGCTTTGGTCTGCATATTGTTCCAGAATGTGTGAATTAGGTTCGCCATTAAACCTGAACTGATGAAATGCCCCCTCCTTACCAGTAACACCAGTTTACTCTAGCAAAGCAATTTTCTCTAATGGCCAAGGGAGTAAAACGTAGAAAAGCTGAGATGAAAGAGCAATTGGGGCACTGAAACAAATAAAATTTGGAACAGCATTTAAAAACCTATTCCAGTCATTCCCCCCTGAAATGTAAAGGGAACATACCAATTCAATCCTCCAGACGACATTTCAGTGGCTCCCTTTTAATACATTTGGTTTCTCCAAAACAAATATAATAGGCTCGTCGGATAAATATTTTATATGTTATGGAATGTGCTAAGTGCTGCAGGGGGAAAAATGCTATGAGGGCATGAGAAGTATCCAGACTGGCACCTTTCCAGCTTCCCATTTGTAACTTATTGCTGTAAAATTTCCATAGACTTCCCCTGAGTACAATGAAAAATTGTGTAAAGTGATACTACTGGCTTTGAATAGGCTGGAAACACCAGGGAATTCTTACCAAAAATAAAATAAAATGGAAGAGGTTTGCCTTAGAAAGTACAGCTTCCTTTTTAGTTGAGGAGAAAGGGGGAAAAATAGAGAGAAATGCATTAATCAAATATTGGAAAGGTTGGCTCTTTTCTCTTTTTAAAGAAAAAGAAATGCAAGCGTCGTTCATTGCTAGAGGGAGAAAGAGAATGAGGGACACCACCTCTCTTATTGTATGGGGTGACTGTTCTTTCAGAAGGAGGGGAGGAGATGGAGCAAGAGGCCCACAACACTCCTCCTGTGTCTATAATGAAAGCACCCTTGGGAGGAAGGGGAGACTTTAGCTTGTGATGGGGAGAGAAATTCAGTTTGGTTCCCATTTAAAGGTGAACCTACCTAATTTGCACTTTCTGGTGCAGGGCTGGCTATGTAGCACACAAAGCTCAGCCCAGCAAAGCTGCATGTGTCATCTGAGGTGGCCATATCACTCTGTCTAATGGTAGGGACGGCCCTGGATTTACAAGGGCATGACATTGGCAGAGATTGGAATAGCCTAGTGCAGGCTTCCTCAACCTCGTCCCTCCAGATGTTTTTGCCCTACAACTCCCATGATCCCTAGCTAGCAGGACCCCAGTGGTCAGGGGTGATGGGAACTGTAGTCTCAAAACATCTGGAGAGCCGAAGTTGAGGAAGCCTGGGCTAGTGTGTGTTTTAAACGCAGCCTTCCAAAAGAAGATGAGGTGAAATTTCCAGAGTCCACTGTGGACATTTAAGTTCTGATTCTTCCCTCTCTCTCTCTTAAAAAAATGAATTTTGGATACTTGTTACTGAATTTCCCATAGCTGCTTAACATTACAGATGCAGATGTGTTGAGGAGAAGCATCCTGGTTTATGCTAGGATTTCGGGAGCTTGTTAGCACACGCCATATGGCGTCCACATTACTTCTCAGAATTTGCTCTACTTTTAATAACTCACTTTAATCATTGTCTACACTGCTTTGAATGAAGGGGAGACAGTTTCTCTCCCCCTTCCTTGCATTGACAATCAGTAGAAGTCGTGTATTGACAACTTGCAAAATGAAGAATGCATTTCCTGTACAAATGTCAGTGGTGAAACTCACACATTTGGAGACATGTTTCTTTTGAGTATTAATTTTCAGCTGTCAGGTTTGATGTTAAAGGGAACCACAAGGAAAATACTCTTAATGGTAAATGGAAAAAAAGCTTTCTACAAAACATTTATTAAAGCTTTTTGATAATTGCTTTTCTTTCAGGGCCTGGAAATATTTTTTAATTCCACCTGCAATTCAGGTTCTACCCTTTTGGAGGTCACAACTCTTGATACATAAGTTTGGAAGGCAACAATTGTTTTAAACACACCCACACCCACCCACCCACCAACAAATGCTCTATCTAGGTTCTATCTGCAATCAAAAATGTGTGAATAAGTGAATGAGCAAATAAATATTGTTTTTAAATATCATTCACAAATCAATTTCACTTCATTTAATTTCATTTCTGGGGTGGGTGAGGGGAAATCAATATTGTTCTTGGCTCAACAGCATTTAGGTTCTTTTCCAGAAAAATATCTAGGACCTCTGCAGAGCGTTCTGCAAAATGGGGCTTCCTGATGGAAACTCTGACACAACTTTTTCATTACATTAATGAGGGATGAGGGATGCTCAGCGTCAGTATTACTCGGCATCTGGTTTTCGCTCGAGCCAATTTTGGAGGACTTTGTAGACTATTACACAGTGCTCCACAGCGTGGAAGTCAGAGGTCTTTTGCCACACTAGTCTTAGAAAGTTTTATAGCATGATTATGAAGGGAGAGTTGTGTAATATATTGGAAAGGGTCCCACCGTATTTTAATAACCATTATAATTTTGGCACCATAGCCATGGGCCTCCTCGGAATCCACCTCAGGCTTTGCTTATGTATCAGGATAGTGACACGTCTGTGAAAGTGTAAGGTGATGTGATGCAGATTCTGATAATATTTGCACGCTGAACATTCAGGTGACTGTAGAGTTGTAAGGCTGGAGGGCACCTAGAGGTAATCTACCCCACCCAACCAAAAGACTTTCCCACCATTTCACAAAGCAGATCTTAGAGCACAAAACCACAAAAGATGAAAAAGCACATAACTTTATTTTGAATCCATCTGAACAAAGATGCTTGGTGGTGGATGCAAAGCACTTCCATATCAGCTAGGAAGCTGGAATTTGGCACACACAAAGCTTTATTCAGACAGTCACTGCTGGAAATGGGGGGGGGGGGACGGGACGTGTAGTGCAAGTTCTGCCCCAGGACGATGGTCAGGGATGCTGAGAGCAGGTCCTGGTTTCAGCTAACTCTTTTTCAGTCTCCCCAGCAAGGACGGCCACCTAAAAATCTTTGCATGGGATACTCACTTTTATGTTAATAATAAATATGATATTATGTATACCTGTTGAAAATATTAATATCCTGGTGGCTAATAACAACAATAAGGGCACCCACACAGTAACTGCTGAACTAACTATACATACACTTTACTCATACACGTTTATCACACAACTTTGTTGCATTTGCACGGTGTTCACTTATGGAAGCATATAAATGTGACTGTGCATAATCAGATGAGGCTGTGCTGTCATACTGTCAAAGAGCAACTGTTTGTATAGAGTAGGAAATATTCGGAAATGGGTGTGCATTAAACATGAAATATATATTTTGTTAAGAATTAAATAAAACATATACAATGTGGTCCTTTCCGGACCGTTTCTGTAATTTGGGCTAGCTCCACTCCCCCTCCATTGGCCCAAAACTGTTATGCAAATAGCTGGACTAGGGCGCTCATCCTTTTGTTGAAAACACCTCCATTCAAGGAGCACAAGGTAGCACCCATGATTCCTTGCCTCTCCATATTATCCTCAAAACCACACTGAGAAGTAGGTTAGGCTCAGAGTTGGGTGACTGGCCCAAGGTCACACTCTGAGCTTCGGAGCCGAGTGGGGATTTGAACTCTGGTCTCCCAGCTCCTGGGACATGGGTGGCGCTGTGGGTTAAACCACGGAGCCTAGGACTTGCCAATCAGAAGGTCGGCAGTTTGAAACCCCATGACGGGGTGAGCTCCTGTTGCTCGGTCCCAGCTCCTGCCAACCTAGCAGTTCGAAAGCATAGCAAAGTGCAAGTAGATAAATAGGTACCGCTCTGGCGGGAAGGTAAATGGTGTTTCCATGCACTGCTCTGGTTCTCCAGAAGCGGCTTAGTCATGCTGGCCACATGACCCGGAAGCTGTACGCTGGCTCCCTCGGCCAATAAAGTGAGATGAGTGCCGCAACCCCAGAGTCGGCCATGACTGGACCTAATGGTCAGGGGTCCCTTTACCCTTTACCTTTACCTCCCAGCTCCTAGTCTGACACTCTAACCACTAAACCACCATGGCATAGGGTGAGGAAGCAGGAGCTGTTTACCTCTCCTTCTTGCAACTTAGTACATGAAATTCACCTTATAAAAATGGCCAGCATTCCAACATGGAGCAAGCCAAAGGCATTGTGGGA